GAATACATTTTAGCCATATATTAAAATTGACAACAGTTTCGGCAAACAGATTTGACTATGTTATGAATTAGTGATGGAGAAATATATCGACCAGGCCAATTAATCGGCCAACATTTTGAGGTTATATTTAGCAGCTGCAATTTTAGCTTCCTTGCATCAGTTAAAAATACTAACACCTCTAGCTACAGCAGCAAGTTGCATTGCGTTCTGAAATGTGTCAAACCACAACTCATAAGACTTCAATAACTTTGTTGCTTCTACTACAGCCAGTTTGCACTTTCATGACAGCTAATATTATGGCCGAGAAACGGTTCTTGCTGAACATGTAGACATTTTTATAGTTAGCTAGTTTTTAGCTACATTTATCAAACTGTATTGTGCATACCAGAGATGGAAACTCATCAGGAATAAAAAATTAAAAAAAGTTTTTAAATGCAGATTTACAGTTGGTTTTATCTTAAAGAAATAGGGAAAAACTCACTCTAGACTCTATGTAGTTTCTATTTTATTAAAAATAATAATAATAATAAAATAAACAATTTTTACTTCAGTTGTCTCAGGCCACATTGTTACTTGTTTTAATAATAATAAAAATAATAATGTTAAAATAACACAATTATTAAATTATAAAAATGTAACAAATATTACTTTCATAATACAATTGTAAAAAAAAAAAGTATTTAATAAAATATTCTTAATCGTCTTAATTTCTCTGCTTTCAATTATTAAATCATACAGATTTTATTTTTGGTGGGAAATGACAGGGAGATTTTTGTTTATGTAATGTGTGTGTGCTGTGTATATTTATTATGTATATATAAATACACACATACAGTATATATTTTGAAAATATTTGCATGTATTTGTATATATTTGTATTTATATCATTTATATTATATATAAATATATTTAATATACCAATATTACATATTTTTCTGAAATATATACTGTATGTGTGTGTATTTATATATACATAATAAAATATACACATACATACTGTATATTACATATATTATGTAAACAAAAACTTTTATTTTGGATGCGATTAATCACGATGAATTGTTTGACAGCACTAATATATATATGTTTTGTTTTGTTTTTTTAAATAAACTACATATGAAAAATAATAATATTATAATAATAGCAAAATAAAACCTCAAAAGACAAACACTCAAAGCTAAGGCTAAACGCTACTTTAGAGTCAAATTTAATACACAGACCCATTCAGTAATTATGTAGAACACAATATAATTTTCATAACCGTATATTTAGATAAGATTAGCAGTAAATTACTCATTTACAACCTAGAGATACAATGATGTGCCCGTATCAGCTGGGAAATATATGAGCCACTGACGCCATTGTCCTTCTGATGACATACATACACAGACTGACTGTCTCTCCAAATTGGTCCAAATAATGACTTCAATCTAAAGGTAAGACCTCATCTAACAATGAGAGGGGGCAATAAATAAAAGGTCAATAAATCCTTTACCTTCCAAGGACTCACATGAACAAACAGCTCTGTCTCGCTGCCGCACAACATCTGCTCTAAAGCAGCGGTGGAAACTTCTCTTGAATAGCACCCAACAACGCTTCAGAGTGAAAACTGACATACCCCGACAGGTTCTCTCACATATTGTCTGTAGATCCCTTGACTGGGGCACACAGATGTCTTTTGAGATGGTAGTGATTCTACAGATGCTGATTGGAATCATGGACAATGTTTCGTCACACACACAGAGACGTTCACAGAAAATGTGCTGCGACCTTCAGGTTAAACCACTTTCTGGTCACTATCGCTTATAGCAGTCGGTGTGACTGTAAAAAGATGATAACATTCCTTTGCTTTGTGAGTAAAATCGAAGAATTTAAACTACTGCATCATATTGACATGTGAGTGGATGTTAGAAGACCTGAGATAAGATTAGTGCAACACTGAGTTTGGAAAAGGAAACGTAGATTGAATGTACGTACACACAAATGCATGTGAACTGACCGACCTTTATTGTAATATTCCTTCCTTTCAGACTTTGCTGTAAAGTTCACACACACAAAAAAAGTTCTCATAAGCATCTGAAATCAGCGATTTCAATGAGTTTCTTATCTCAGAATGTGCGTTTGTCACCGGAACAAGCCTTCATTCATCCAGGTGTAACAGATGTCGAACATTCAGTCCATCAAATGAACTTCTGCAATCTTGTTCTGAGGAAGATCAGTTAAAGATCAGATGCCCCAGGAGGAACGGAATATGGTCCAAACTGGTTTTTGTACTCAGAACGTGGTAACATCATCCTTGTGCAAAACACATGAAGCGCCTAGGGCTGGGTATTGAGACAAATTTCAATTCACAAGCTTGTGATTTAATTCGATTTTGAATTTTTCCGAATTTTTGAGGTTTTCCTGTTTCTTTCAACATGCCTTCTGATGTTCATTCGTGTTTATTTTGTTCTGTAACTGGTAGTAAATATGAAGAGATGACCGTTCAATGTAAAAGTTGAACTGAGGCGCAACATGGATCTGTCACGCCATATTAAAGAGTGCCAAAATGGTGTTTATTCTTTGAATTTCGTCATAAAACTGGATTTTTTGGATAATCGGATTATAATCAATTAATAATCGGATTTATTGGATGGGAGGCGCGCTATAAATTATGTTTTATTAAGTTTTGCTATGCTTTTGGGGTTGTTTTCTTATCGTTTTCATATTTGCTGAAGGTAATGACTAAAAAGTAGTCTGACCAATAATGTGCATGCATTGGACACAATCGACCAATCGTGGCGTGCGAGAAGGCGGGATCTATAGGGAATGGTCAAAGCAATGCAAATACATGTACATATAAAGAATGACTGTAGAGCATGTCAGTAGGAAAACAAAGTCAAACGCGGACAATTTAGAAATCCATCAGAAATCAAATGAGAAAAAGAGGACATATGGCAACCCTGCTTGAACGTTTAGACCCCACAGTATAGGAAAGAAAAAAAAACTGAACACAAGCAGTGTCTGATCCCGGTTGCCAGTGTGGGGGAAATCAAATTGTGTGAGATATGAGAGGCATCTGTAAGACGTCTCAGGATTGTCAGTGGCTGTGTGGATGTATTGTGAGGTTTTGGCATGGCTGATGGAACTCATGGAAGCCACATCTAGACACACAAAAGAGCTTTGCCTGGGCTGGGTCTAATTGGCGTTTATGTCCCGGTGGATTGCAAACATTTTCTTGGGAAAGGTGCATACTTCATAATGACAATACTATGAGTGGCCACAATGTTACTAAACCTCTCATTTACACAAGAAACAGGCAGTGAGTTTAAGAGGTCTGTTTTGAACACAAACACAATTCTACGAAAGGTGTGAATGTGTCTTCAGAGGAAACTACAAGTTCTAATACCGATTTTTCAGTAAAACCAAAGACTACAGAATGCCCGAGAATGTCACTCGTATAGTTTTGAATTGGGTAAAATGCAACACTCAATATGGCTGCTCTATCAAAGGAAGCCCCGCCTTCAGAATAAAAGAGCCAATCGCTAATCGGTAAAGTCATCTGCAGCTGCCGTTAAAAGTCCTGGTTGCTATAGAAACAGTCACCGTTAGGAGACGTGCGCTTCTGACTGCGCATTGGCTGGTCTAGCCTGAAAAATACGCTTTTTTGAATGCTATTTGAGCAAAAGAAACAACAATTATGAGACAGTTGTCAGATTTCATTGGTGATTTCAAATATGAAATTTAATCGTAAGCTTGGCAAACCATTTTGGAGAATTTGATGTTTCCCCATTCAAAGAGATAGGGGCTGCACTTGCATGACGAGAGGCGTTTCAAAGATGGCCGCCGAGTGAAATGACTTACCTTAAAAGGACTTTGGTATTACTGGAGTAAAAACATCTACAGCAATACCCAGTAAACATGACAAAGTGATTATTTGGAAAATGGATGTAAATGTTTTAATAATGTCTAAAAACATTATTTTGAATGACTCAAAATATAAATGTATAGGTTAGGTAGGTTATATACCTTATATACAGTATATAAAACCATGTCCAGTTGATAATTTACTCCAAACAATGCATAAAATTAAATAAATAAAAAAATAAATGAATAATGATGAAATAAATGAATAAATAATGTTTATTTGTTTATTTATTTTATATAAATACATTCTATCTGGTAATTCTTATTACTGTGTGTGGGTTTTTTTACATTACAATAAAACTACAATACTAATACAAAATTTTATCTAGTCTTATTTAAATATTTTGTTTAAAAAGAAAAATTTTCAGCATAATAGTACTGGTAATGATATTTTTACATTACAGTAAAGAGAACTTCAAGGAAAAGTGTTTAATTTTCATGCAAATAATGATAAAAACAAATCTTAATGCACCTAAAATAGGCTATTTTTTTTAAGGCATATTTCGTTATTTTGATTTTTGGGTGAAATATGACCCAGAAACATTCCTAAAGTGTTTCACCAGAAAGCACTTAACTTTAAATGAGAAATGACCAGTGTGTTCAAAGTCTAGCCGAACTCTCAACCTCACTGTCATTCTGTACTGAACCTGAACAAACTAAATCAGATTACAGTTAACTAGTCATTGAGTGAAATCTGAACCCCAACATCAGCACAGGTCTCTAAAGATAAGACAGGAAAGAGAGACCAACACAATGGCCATTTATGGTAACAACATCCTCATCAAACCTTTTCAAATGCAAAAACAAAATCACCGTATGTTAGCGTTTAGGATCAGAGCGCTCTAGTCCCTCATCCTCATTTACTCCATCACACTTCCCCCACTCTCTCCATCTCTCAACATAAGGAAAACATAAA